TCTAAGTAAACGTATCTTTAATCCTTTTATATATCTAAATTCAGTTCGAGTGTAATCTGTATGTTAAATGCTGTATAATGAGAAACCTTCAAGCACAAATGCAGAAGGGCACCTGTTAGTGCTTACACTCTTGCCGTGATCGTAAATAGGATATTCGTGTCGAGCAAGCTAGTAGACTACTACAGTACTGAACATACTGAATCCATTACCTGACTCTACTTTCAATTTCTAACCTAGATAAATGATCACCCACCTGTTTCTTTCAAATATCCATAATTAATATTGACACTAATTGCTTTAATTAGTTAATTCCTTAATTAATATTCCGGTCGATATTCCTGGTCGGCATTCCTAGTCGTCCCAGTATTCATTCCTCCCTTGCCTTATTGTTTTTCTTAAGTCACTGGGCGACCGACAAACCTCTACTTCACAAAACAAATATCTTGGCATTGACACGTTTTTATAACATTCGGATTTAACCGTTTAACCATAGTCGAGACGTTACAATGGCTTAAGAGATTATCACTGGATTACAAACTGTTTTGAAATTTACACATCTACTGACATTGAAAGGTGTTACGGGCATGGTGAGAATAGTGGTTCAACTCGATGGGTGGGGGCTGTTTTTTTAACTTATGCTCTCCTGCACTGAAGTCTATTTAATGCCTGTAAAATTTTCAGTTTGTAGTTAATGATATTTCACTCATTTATATATTACTGGTTGCTTTGTTTGATTATAATTATATACTTTGGTACATTTTTTGTATCTTTTCTTTTGTGGGTTGGGGGAGGGGAGCCTAGGGTGAGAGCCTGTGCACTTGGTTCAACCAGTCATTATGACAGTTGAACCACTGGGTGAGACTCTCGGAACAGCAGAAAATGCTGGGAATTGAAACCAATGGTACGTAAACGCCAATAGCTTTAGTTTTAGGAGTCCACTACTGTACAATTATCACCCTTGATTTTGCCATGGACGAGATTTTTAGTTAACGGAATGGTCATGCTTGTGTGGATCTTTTTTTCTTTTCATTAATTGCTAACTCTGTCCCAATTAGGTGCAGAAGAGTTGGACGTAACACCCCATTCATTTCATTTGTGTGTGTAGACGAAGCATAATGAAATAGTTTGCGACTGTTTCGAATGTTATTACCTGTCAAAGAACAATAGACTTTGTCAAACCTCTCAATACACCGTATTACCATAAATATAATAATAGTATTATTACTGTATAACAAAACCTATAATGTACATGTTTACTATATTCGGGTGACAGGGTTTAAAGGGGCACATCGGTCAATTTAAGTACGATTAAAACAGATATTTACGGAACCCTTTTGTTACAAACACCTGCTGTACAAATTACGAAATCTGGTTGGGAAATAAGGATACAAGTTGCTATATAGTCTCTGACGCCAAGACTTCTCCTGTCTACGAAGATGCTGTGAATTAGGGGCTGGATGATAGAGACTCAAACGTTGCCGTTGAAATGGATTGAAAAGTGATTAGTAGGGGGAGGGGGTATTTTCTACTAACAGGATCATGCTAGATATGGGTGACCGTTTGTAAACGTTTGGTTGTACATATTTGTATCACGGACCTTGATGCAACTCTGTTATCACTGTTTTTTTAACTCAGCATCTCTTTCGGCATGACCACTTGGGTAAAGTGTTTATTTAAAACTGGTACATTAAACGTTGTCTTTAACAGTGGATAATATAACGTTAGTATACCTGAAACTAACAGATTATCCTTTAAGCTGATCTACTTATCTACCTTCAAGATCTATGTAATTATATACATATACCAGTATAATGGCCCATAATGAAGAGGAGTATATGAAAGTTAATGGGTAGCCTATGCATATTGTACTCGGGCGTTTTGGATCGCTTGATCTTTCAAACAGATGGTTCTACCTACCCACTTGATCGTTACTGAATTATCCATGACGGTGATCTCATCGAATCAAATCTGAAGAAAAGATATCTTAGAAACGACTGATCTACGGCTCTCAACAGGCATAGTTTATAGAGAAACGATCATTACACGGACAGGTATTTCAAATTTCGAGCAATTGAGTTTTGAAATGCGTGTAACTGTAAGCTTAACAGTCCCCCCCCAAAATCCCCCCCCCCCCCCTCACATTCTGTGGCCCCTAGTCAACACATCCCACTTAATGATTCATTGAATATTTCCGGAACATTGCAGGTGCGAGCATCATCTATTTCATGCTTAAAGCTTATCGACTACCGACTTAGACTTGACAATGGCAATTAAAACACACATGTAAGCTAATAATCGAATCATGGTCCATTGATTGTCTGACAAATTTTCCCATTGCACACTCCACACGTCTTCAATAAAACCAAACAAATGCAGAAAAAAGTGGCTCTTCAACTCTATTTTAATTTCCATATACGTAATTTGGGAATAAATCTTTCCGATTTTGTACTTATGGTGGGACTTCAGGAAGTCAATTTTATTTCTATTATTTTTATACGTAATTTTGATCTAAATCTCTGCTCGATTTTGTACTTTTATTCTTAGCCGAGTCTGACCTTGACCTTGATGGAATCCATTAAGAGATGAAATGACGGTGTATCACGCGAGATTGTTTCTGGATGGTCAGGTACGATCATCATTATCATCATTATTAAACCACTGGTTGTTGTTTGAGCTCAATTAATTCATACATAAAACTGGATGTTATGAAAGCAAGGACCAAATTTAAAGATATACTGTCACCTGAATATTGGTTCATCCATACCTGTGCTGTTTATAGGAAACATTAGGTGAGGGGCCGAGTAAGGGCATCACAATTTTCCACGGAGATCCCAGGCAATTCTATCACTGGGCTTGGGCTTTAAGTAATAAAACTAAGTATTTTCAAATATAAAAGGGGGACTTTTACTGAACAAATCGCTCGATTGGATGAATATGGTTGGTTATAATAAAATGACCCAGAACAGGAGGTGCATACAAATTTGTTCAGATCATGAATGACAAGTGGAGATATTCACAGAAAACATCACAAAACGAAAATCCCGATTTGCATTTGTATCCGATAACTTCTTATATAATTGCTTCTTTAAGGCCCGTCACACAGCAAATGCGTTTTACTACGCTGCTACTGCGATGGAAAATTGGCTCAGAGTGTGTTAAAGTCGTCATTAAAATGGTATAAACGTGTAGGACACGTCAGACATCGTGCCATTGAGGTTAGGCGATCTGTTCTGGAATGCAATGAAAACGTCGTTGGGTCGAGAAAGTCGTCAGATAAACATCTCCTTAAACGGTATCAAAGCGCAGTATACGCGAAACAAAAAACTGCAAAAAAGTTAGTACGCAAATATGGTCGAATAACTTGCGGTATGAGGTCGACTGTTTTTAAGTTTTAACAGTTTTGCCTAGTTTTCCTCACGTTTGACCGCGACATTTCATGTCCCAGTAAGATCGCAAATGGTCGCAGTTCACAGTGACGGGGCAATTACCGGGATAATTCGAACAAGCTCACTCCTATCGATTCCCCTTATATATCACCGCTCACTGATGTTTATCATTGTACGCACCCATCACATTACGTAAACTTGATATTCAAAGAAGCATATTTGATACCATAATCATGCAATTGTCATGGAAATGAAATAAGATATCCGGTATAATGTAATTGCCATGACAACATGTATAATATCATTACGTTTGATTAATTACCTCATTACTGATTATATAAATAAATCAATATACTCTATCTATATTATACAAGTCACGAGAACTACTTCTATTCCATGTTCACCATCCTCACAATGTCAAGGTATTACGAACTCCATCTAATACATCACTCGACTCGACTTCGGCAATGTTCGTTAGTTTCCGTACTAACAGCATTCTACTCCCGAATTAGTTACGAGTGCTAATACATGTCCGTATGTTCTCAGTCATTCTTGTTTCAGATCTGTTTTAAACACAGTTTAATTTAATTATTTCCAATTTATTTCAAATGGTGATGACGACCTTAAAAATATATGATAACATTGGAAGCTAACAAACCGCACGATTGGAATGTTTTGTGATTTCGTCGCGCCCATAACTATAAAAATAAAGCATTTTCTTAATAAGAGAGGGAAGCCACAGCAACCCCTGCTGGTTCGCTTACTAGAGGTTCTGAGGGTTTCACCATGGCAAAGTTATTGATGGCGGTCGCGGAGTACTCAACCCGGTTTCCGACCTGCCAGTGATGCAGATCAGAGGGACTGGCCTGAAAAACGCCTCGGGTGGGAAAGATGCAATCTCAAATGAGATTACGATTTTTTTAGTTTTTTACTTTCGTGTCCTGTTTAATCTAACGAGCTTGCTACCATAATCCAACTTTAATGTCGATATTTCTAACAATAAAAGCGAGTCACGAAGGAAACGTTTCTTGATAGCAACAACGAATTGTAGGATAATAGATTAAAACAATGTGACAAGCCTATTTGGGTTTCGCTATCCCACAATTCGTAAATAGAACGTGAAAGTGGTAGAAAACTTATTTGATGAAACGAAATTGTCATTTTATTGAAATTGAGAAAATTCAAACGCCCGAGCAGTGGTTTATTAAGAGATTCCATAGTTCGTTTTGAAAAGATTAAGCTGCTTTTGAAAGTTTATCCAAGTCATAAACTCAGTGTATACAACTACTCATAATAAAGAACAAACGTGAAAAATTCGATGTTTAATGTTGATAGCCATGAAATAGAATACACATAGTAAACATATCCTTACATAAATACATCTTGATGGTAATATGATCTAGTAATTATCTTATTTATGTCTATTCTATTATTGGATGTAACTTAAAAATAAATAAAAAATCCTATTTTATAAGGATAATATGGACATCTGGTCATTGACCAAATCAGTTTCATAGATAATCTTTGTCTTTACCCATTACAACTAGATTTATTCAATGTCCAGAATGTCCGGCTTCATACCTTATCAAAACCATTATAACAGTTTTACGCCCCATCCCATGGATCTAAATGTATTGGTTAAGTAAAAGTTTGAATAATAAATGGTACCAAAAAGGCAACAGCCCAAGTCCATTATAAAATAAGAAGCTTGTGCACAGCGCTACTGGTGATCATAGATAAAACTTGCTGAAGTCATCTATCTCATTATCTCAGTTGAACCAGCTGTATAGGAAAGACCATTATCAAAGGATCATTCAAGAACCATTTTGAAAGTGTTCTTGATCAAAACTTGTTGATTCTTGTCTTTATCATTTCACTATTCGTCTATATTATCAATATACAGAAGGTAAGAAAAGAACCAGCCAGAAAACACAGTTCAAAATATATGTTAAAGATGAGTTCCCTTATTTTCATTTATGACAATACTTATTTGAATAAAAAGTAGAGGTGTTCTAATGACTTGGAAAATACCAGTTTGTCTCACAGGTCCACAATTAATTCATAATTAGCTAAATAAGATGTCAACCAGCAAAATTCCAATCGAGTGACCGATCAAGAAAGGTCAAAAAGTCTTTTTTTTTATCCAGACTGTACTGACAGGGACATTTATGATTGGTTAAAACTCTTAATTCTATGCAATTAGAACATAATGATATGATTAAGAATACATGATAAATAATTAAAAACACCAATTAATCAAATAGTTTGCTTAATTTGACACTAAAAAATAAGGAAAGCCATCTTTAAATATGAGAAAATCGGGCCTTACAACGGAAGCAACCTTGGAATAGATTGCACGTCTAATCTAATTGTGTATATACAATACTTTAACATAACGATAGCACTATAATGTAAAAATAAATATAAAGACATATAATATATACAAATTACACACATATACAACCACATTTTGAATATCTAAATTGCTTGCAAATAGATAAAAATACATTAAACCGATTGTCCACTACCAATGACGTAATAAAATATCATATTGATAATAATAAATTTGCTACGGGGAACTTTGATTGTTCTCAATTTCCAATATATATTTCATTGTTTATTTTAAGGGATGGTAGAGATGTTTTCCAAATTTTTAAGGGTATCGGGGACACTGAAAACATCAATTTGCATCATTCCAATTTTCAATCAGACGTCTGAGGCTCCTGCAATTCCACTAAAACTAAGTGTTTGATGACAAGAGAATTTTGTGATAAGTGACGTCACAAAACACTTCTTTATTTTAAAATTGCAGGAACCATAAGTTCTAACTGAGAACTGGAATTGTGAAAATTTATGCTATCAGTGTCCCCGATACACATGAAAAAGCCTTAGAAAACTTCTTTATAATCCCTTTAATCAATGAATTTTCAGATGAACAGAACGTACAATTTTCATCCAGAAATGTAACAAATCAACAGGTTGAAATTGAGCTCTATCATCTGATAAATACACATATATAAACACTATATTCCTGTAGCAAAATTACAGAAGTATTAATTGTGAAGCCATTAGATATCTAATATACAGTCCTCCTTGCTTCACCATGTTTTTTACACTCGATAGACAGTTCAGTTCACAGATCATTGGAGATTGACGCCTTGCTTTGCTGAACCTTGCAGATCTAAGAAGCACCTCTGCTTCAATGAAATACACTCATATACCAAGTGGTTCTCACAAAAAAGCCCTTAAGAAACAAACAGTATATATTGTTTTCAGGTTTTACACAATTTCATCAAAAAATCTTCCATGCAGTGAAAATGGAATAACCACTGGTAAATACGATCGGTTTATGATTTTCATAGTTTTAGCACTGATAACAGCTAAATAGGACTTCTGTCGAACTCCATCCAATATAGGTACCAGTAACACACCATCGTCTTCTGACTTGCGACGAGGATTAGGTACAAACCAAGCCTCCGATGGATAATGGTATTTAATATAGAGCGAGCGATCTCTTCCACGACGACACATGTCGCGTTTTACGATTGATATATGACTCAAGTTGATGTTATCAGTCTTCAGAACTATTCCATACACAAAACAATAACGACTCGCTCGGTACAGCTCGTTTATTGTCGGCATGTCTAAATTCATAGAGTACGGTATTTTTGTTTTTGGGTCGCGTTTAACGTAGTTGATTTTGTTCTTAGTGAGATTTATTCGAAATCTTTTGAGTTGAGCATGAGCATCGAACGCATTCCTCTGAGTAGGATCACGTAAAATTTCCATCTGTAGACTTTTCACAAATTCCGGACTCGGATATGCAGATACGTCTATGATAATCTTATCCTTGCGTTCATATGCATTTACGTGGTGCATGGTGAAGACGTTGATGGTAGACATTGTGATCAGTTCTCCGGAGTTTAAATTCACGACGTAGACCGTAGTCGGTTCATCTGCGTACCAATCTAAACACTCAAACGGTTCTGCTTTCCGCAACATTCTCAAGACGTTGACGTAGAACGGATTAGCAAATAGGATTGCGTAATTTTCTGTTACAGAAAATGAATGCATGTACGGAACACGGCCAACGTCCCATTTTGCAATGACTTCTCGTTCTACGGCGGATTTGATTCGGATTAAACTAATAGTGTTACTGAAGAACGGAATCACGCTGACACTTGACAAGAACGTGATGTGATTCCTCGTTCCGGGTTCCGGAAGTGGGTGAGCAGACGACAGCAGATCGAGAAAACCAAACGATCCACCTAAAGATCTCTCTCCAATATGTGGAGTTACCGCCCCTAGTGTTGTCAAATCCCAAGGCGAAATTTCGTAAATTTTCCAAAAATCATTCAAGGCCACGTATTCCGACGAATTCCTCTCCTCGTTGTAGAATTTATAAACGTTCACGTTCATGTTGTCAATTCCTCGCATCAACGCCTTCATTTTATCATACGCACTGAATTCTGGGATGACACCTTCGAATAATAAATATGGCGCTATGTCGTCTGTTGCTAGGGAGTCGTTGTAAAAACTGCTTTCTATAAATCTGGTGCTGAAATAAGCCGAACCATTTCCATCAAACTTCCAACTACTTAGTTTAGCGAAGGCGTCAAATGAGTGAGCAAACTGTCTCATCCCCATTTCAAATTTGCCAAATCCATTTCGTACCTGAAAGACAGAAGATTGTATTAAATATAGACGTTTATCAACATGGTCAAGTCATTGGTTATAGGGACTGCAGAGAGGTTCTCTAAACTTTTTCTGTGTACTAGGGACACTTATAGATACAAAGACCCCTAGATATTTCAGGGATAGTGACGTCATAAAAAGTTTAGTTTTACCGGAGTTGCAAGAACCACAGAGTTCTGACAGAAAAAAATGGAATTGTATAAGTATTCCTGGTACAAATCAAAAGTTTGACTAGCTTTAAAACGTAACGGCATAGCTTTAATATGTAGTTTCTGGTAATGAAATATAACTTTTTACATTTTAACAATATGGACACTTGTGAAAGGGCAGATTTTATCTAGCGTTCCAGGGTTCGGGCAGGCCCATTTTTTCATGGCATGTGTAGTTATGCTTATGTTATGTATAAAATCGGGTCGGGGTTGGGCATGCCCCTCTCCACACGACATGTGTCGTAATGCTTATCTAACGCACTAAAGTTGATAACGTTACATGTAATACATGACCGTGTACACTGATAAAATACATGAAACAAAAGATTATGCTGATGTCTTATTATCCGATATCTCAGACAATACTGTAATACAACCAGAGATGCAGGTACCCGTGTCAGGTCGGTTTGACTTATAGACAGCGGGTCAGACAGTTTGGGTTCATAAATTGTAGTGGCGTACTTTGGGTTGGATCATAGAGCCATGCCCCCACCCCTGGGGCCCGTCGAAGGTCAAAGCTCTAAATGCTCAAAATTCTTCCCATGCCATCTAAAATTCGTTTGCTTCTGGGGGCCCCTTTCAGTCCTCAAAACCCCGGCCTCACGGTACTTCAGCTCTACGGGCTTCGTCTCAGAGACCCGCCACACATCTATGCCCTCCCGATTTCCTCATTTTGCAAAATCTCCTCCCCTCCTCCTTCCTTCCCTGTCGAGAAGCACTGTATTAATGAATTGATTCTAGACAGGAACGGTTAACTAATATTCGGCTGTATCAGCTTGTAAAACGAATGCGTGGGAGATAGTACTCCATACATCACTGAGATATGAAGTACGATTACGCCAAATTTTGCAAAGAAAATGGGCACACAATGGCCTAATTTATCGTAGATAATCGATTCCTATCAGCTTCCCCACATTTCTAAAAATAAACTGTAAAATGAATGACAAGTGTAAACAGTTGTAGTCTACGTCGTAATAATTACGTCATCACGTTACTTTCAAGATGGCGAGACTTGATAGCCCACGGGCTGCTACTCTCTGACGTCATTGTAAATATTGTCGCAGACGATGTCCTTGAATGACACACTCCGGTTTAGCTGGGATTCAGAATATGATGTCTAAAGTGTTGATTTTGTAACCCAAATTAATTTTGGATGAGAAGGTCGGCTTTACGCATTTATTTCTATATTAGAATTTAATCAAAACTCAGCGAGTTAAGATATATTCTGTGAGCTTCTTAGCACATTAAAATCTATTCCAAATTTAACACATAAATCTATTCTGAATTTGGTATATCTATCTTAAATTTATGAAATCATTGTATATTCTAAACTTAGCAAAAAAGAAGATCTATTCTGTAATTGGCATATTAATATCTTTTCTGATCTTAGTCTTTAGATTTGCTCTAAAATTTGCGTATCGGGATCTATTTCTAAAGTACTATCGTTCTTGAACTTTGAGATCGACTCTGAACTTAACAAATTGGGATCTATTCTGCATTTATCAAATCAAGAAATCTATTCTGAACTTAGCATATTAAGATTTTTAACACAAGAAGATCTATTCTGAACTTGGCACATTAAGATCTATTCTGAACTTGGCACATTAAAATCTATTCTGAACTTAACACATTAAAATCTATTCCGAACTTAACATAATATTATCTCCGAAATTAGCACATTGGCGTCTATTTGTACTTTACGACTAGGATGACGTTAAATAGACTGAATATTTCCTGGCAAAAATACTGTATACCACTGCGATAATGATAGATGATTTATCTGTGAACTTTCATCAAACATTTTGGTGTACAAAATGATGAATATATTTCTATGTAATATTACAATAATAAAATATTTTCACTGTTAAAATAGTGTTCAATACATCAATTGTAGGGTGATATAGAAATACCACTGTTAAAATAGTGCTCAATACATCAATTATAGAGTGATATAGAAATACCATTGTTAAAATAGTGTTCAATACATCAATTGTAGAGCAATATAGAAATACTACTGTTAAAATAGTGCTCAATACCTCAATTGTAGACCGATATAGAAATACCACTGTTAAAATAGTGCTCAATACATCAATTGTAGAGCGATATAGAAATACCACTGTTAAAATAGTGTTCAATACGTCAATTGTAGAGCAATATAGAAATACCACTGTTAAAATAGTGCTCAATACATCAATTGTAAAGCGATATAGAAATACCAGGGTTAAAATAGTGCTCAATACATCAATTGTAGAGCGATATAGAAATACTACTGTTAAAATAGTACTCAATACATCAATTGTAGAGTTATATAGAAATACCACTGTTAAAATAGTGCTCAATACATCAATTGTAGAGCGATATAGAAATACTACTGTTAAAATAGTGCTCAATACATCAACTGTAGAGTGATATAGAAATACCACTGTTAAAATAGTGCTCAATACATCAATTGTAGACAGATATAGAAATATTAAAACAGAACCAAAAACAAACATGTTTTTTTAGGATTCTGTTTTAATATTTCTATTTCTATATGATATTATGTTAAACTGGATTTTGAAAGAATTTATCAATTCACACAGTCTTCCTCGGTTTTCAAGAATACTATTCACTATTGATATACTTCTCATATGAAAAGTTCATTAGATGCTACCAATATTTCGTCAATAGGTTGTTACGGATTTCGGGTTTCGTTTAGTGGTTCGGATCGTTAGTACTTGGTTTATTTATTCAATACAGATACCTGTACACAACGTTTCGGCAATCTACATTAATTACATAAACATAACATAATCTTTCTCCAGAACCTAAGCTTTTATATTGATAAAATATGAATATGTTTGCTGTTTAATCTGATAACGTAACAAACATCAAAACAGTGGTGGAGAGTGGAATAGTCCCTCTTTCTCTCTCAGAAAAGTGGTACGTAAAACTCCATTCATTTCATTTAATTTCCCCTAACAATCGTTTTTCAACGGGTCGATTTTCGGGAATAATGGAAGGAAAAAGGTCTTTCTCCCACCTAAAAAAATTTTCGCTCCGATGCCCGTGTTTGCAACGTTTCGGAATGATTGTCAGGTCGCCTGTACGAGAATAATACGAAAATTTACTTACCAAAGTACCCTTTAACCATTTCGGCAGTTTTCTCTCAAATTTGATTTCGGTATCCTCCAATTCCTCTGTATTAGACGTGAACAACAACTGAAATCCATAATCCTCACAACAGCAGAATTTCAGCAGAGTGAAAAGCACCACAAGTAAAATTTTTAAACTCTTTAATTTGATCATGATTGAAAAAGAAATAAATAAATAATGAAATAAAGAATTTTATCTCGAGCTAGATAGAACTCTCAAACTCCTCCTATTATTCTCTGACGTAAGGAATTAATTCGCGTGATTTCTGTCATTTTACTTTTCAATCTGACAACAGAGCGTGGATACCTTGATCTCTACGCTCGCTCATCCAGACTCTTAACGAATAATAAGGTGGAAAATATTAAACGTAGTTGGGAAAGATCGTTATCAGAGTTTGAGAAAAAAAACATGCGCTAATTAAGTGACAATGTCTCATAAAAAATAAAAAAGAACATTTATATAAGGGAAAAAAATATAGGACATAATTAGTCTTGTTAATCGTGTCACACAGGTTTCTAGTTGACTGGATAATTGAGATATGATACCGCGGGAAATATTATTGATGGATGTGATTAGCGAAGGCCGTCTGGGTCAGGTTAGACAATAGAGGAGGGGTCAAGGCGAGTATGGATAATTTAATTGGACGACGGTCAGTGACCATAGATCACCTGGCAGGTGTGTCGGACTATTGTCTTCCACTCTCGACCACTGGTCATCTTACATCTGCCATAATTAACAGACGTATTGAACATGCACACGCCAAGGTCGTTCATGCACGTTTGAAGGTCAGTGTGTCAAAGTAACAGTTTGTTACCTTAATAATGACACTGATGAAGTTTCTCACAGTATGGATATCGATAAAAACTAGATAATGTTTAAAATGAGAAAAAGGAACCTATACTAGCTTGAAAACACTAAGATATAATCTTTGTAAGACATATAGCAGCAGGAAGGTAAACATTAAATTTGTGTTTTTAACACTAAGATATATTGATATACAACTAATGACTTTAGTATATTCTACGTTCTGAAACACATACGAGTACATTCGTCAATCTTCGTCAATCTTCAGTTTCCGTAAAACTGAATATATTGCAGAGTGTCAGCCATAATTGGCACTGTAGGCCGTTTGATAATAAAGTAATGTCATCTACATACCATTTCAAATTGATAACATTACCTGTATTTTTTTCGAAACGTATAGTAAGTTCAGAAGTAGTATATTAGTAAATCTGATGCCGGGGACAGACGGGCGAATTGTTTAAGCTATTTTAAAATTCGCCGCGATCGGGTGGTAAAATGCGCTCGTCTGCCCCTTACTTTAGTGTTTAATGTAACCTTCCTTCTTATGTCTTGATAGTATACTATCATAGTCGCAATTCAAGTCCCTAAGATTGCTGAATTAACGGAGAAAATGCGTGCGTGGGGATAAACGTCTCAGCTAATAGCGTAATGCCAAGGTTGTCAAAAGTTTTAGTCAGGATATACAGAGTACATCGTTCTCAATAATTGAACTTGAATTAAAACGGATGAAATAAGACATTTTGCTGATAAAGTGGACATTTTGCTGATAAAGTGGAAGTCATTCTTGTAAATTACGCAATATAACTACTGCACCAAACACCATCAGGGCAGACATGAATATGCCGTGCCAGCCGTGGACGTCATATATTTCATTAAAACCCGAATCTTTGTCAATGCCAATGATCAAGTTATTACAAATAGCTAATTTCACTGTGATTTCGAATATGTGGATGTGCTTGAACGCTGCAAAATTGGTACAGAAATGCACACAATCCTGCCCCTCCTGCACCACGACTACGAGGCAACCAACTGCACGATAGAACAATTCAATAAACAGTTAAGAATATTTTATTCCCGTAGAAAATCAAAGCATACTTCCACAAAACCGAATAATTAACAAATTAACAGCAAAATTCACACGGAATTTCATTTCACCACACTATTTATTACCATTCAAGTGTATATACAATATATTGAAAAATCACTTTTAACTGTCATGCGTCAAACGAACGGAAACTGCCCTGCGTTTGATATCAAGTCTAAAGTTTAAAGTAAAGGCTTCTGGAAACTATTTCAGAATTGCAGGATTTGAAATCTGTTGTGAAGCAACCAAAGGAAATGCCTTAGTTTTTAAACGACGACCAAACTTTTTAAGTGTCTTTACTAAAGCCACCCTCACCATAGCGATCACCAGTTGCGTGTGATTGCGGATAAGAATAAAGGTCATAAGTTACGAGCGAACTCTCTTGCAACTGGTAATCGCTAATGGTGCCAGCTCACCTAACGCAGATCATCAGTAAAATTCGATAGTCATACTTAAATAAAACAAGAAGAGGCATTTTCTTCCCATAATATAATATTATAATATATATGAACTCTTAGTGATCTTGTTATCGAAATAAATATAAGTTACATCTCTTTTTCTCCTATTTTTTTCTTATTTCTTTGGTAAAATCAAAAAGAATCATCATTCATTTGTAACAAAAAACACAAGCGATTAGATTTTGGTATAACACATTTCTTTTATAATAAAGTAACTAACGTGTCAACACTAGGAAATATATTATGATATAGAACAATTTAATAACAAAGTACATAACGTTTCAACACAATTTACACATGGCAATCAATTACGAAGTAGGTAACCCCTCTTCTTCACTTCATCTGACCACGTTTAAATTGTGTTGAAACGTTATGTGCTTTGTTATTAAAGAAGTGTGTTGTACCGCAATATATTCCCTTGTGTTTTTTGTTATATGTGCTCTCCACTTCTAAACGTCGTTCAAATCTTATCGTTCATTTAATTTTAATCCATGATTCCATCCATGGATCATCTCTTCCTGTTATTCCTCTCATTCCCTTAAAGACAGAAGATGATACTTCCAGACAATCGACAGTACCTACTTGTGGCCTAGGCCAGTGCTTCTATAAGATAGTATCTCTTATAAAACCTTATACCATCTTCATTATATCAAGTTATTATAACTCTCGTCTTATCCATTGACTGTCACCTTTCTTTCATCTAGGACATTTGCAAATGCAGCAATTTGATTGGATTGTACGCTAGCGAATATACAGCCAAACAACAAGGGTTCTGATTGGTGGGTATCACTAGCGTACAATCCAATCATTTCTCTTCATTCAAGAAAGGTGACTATTGCAGTCAAGGTATTAGACGAAGTTAATAAAAGCTCATCATTTCAAGCTAGCAGATAAGGGTGATTGAAATAACAAGGCTAGTAGAGCTAATTCCATTAAAGAATTCCATCATTGGTTGTAACATCATTTCTTATCTAATTACCCAATTGATTAACAGATTTTTGTTAATTAACTTTGATTAACCCTCAGTGAAATCAAAATAATCAATAACCGGTTCTGGTTTACTGGAACTGGATTCAGTTTTTGATTCTGGTTTCTTACTACTGGCCTCTGCTTTGTTGGAATCTCTACTGTTGAAGGAACCTAAGGTTGTCATAGCCCTGAAACATTAAATATAGTAATTATTATCACAGGAAGCAAGGTGCTTTCAATTTGGGCTACAAAACCATTAACCACAATGGAAAGCATCTCTAATGAGACCAGGCACGCTCTTTCATTATATTGTTTCTCCTTGCTTTAGAAGGATCAATGCCACAAGGTTTGATCACCGATGAGCTGGTAAACACTGAGTTGTTACAAGCCTTTTAGACTTCATGGTAATCACCCAAAAGCATCATATTTTCAAAAACAAAATTTAGATTCCACTATTTAAATAACTGAGCAATTTACCAAATTCAACACTAAACTATGAAATACTGTTTGTGTGTATAATGCACAGTTTTTTTTTACCGTGAGCTTCCAGTCAATATCAGTACCTGATGTTACTTCTCTTTGGAGGAGTCTACTACTAGACTTCCTTTACTCTTGATTTTGTCAATCATTGGACATGATTTTTGATTAACAGAATTGTCAAAGGCGATAATAGCTTGGTATTGTGATGGTGACAGTAGAAAAATCTAAACTACCTTTACTCTTTTGCAATTCTCTGGTTGGACAAGATTTTTAATTAACAGAATTATCTTGCTTGTATGGACTTTTATTGGGGGTCTAACAGTAGACAAATATCAACCTACCCGAATCGTCTGCTAGAAGAAGATATAGCTGTTGGAGGAGCTAGAGTTGGTGTTGATTCTCTCTGATTAAATGCACTGATTCCAACATTAGGTAAATAACATCTAGTTCTAAAATTGATTAATTTAATACAGTCATTAGTCACAATCAATACAGACAGAAAACTTTAATGCAAGAAAATAATTGTTCCTCAGAATATTAAATAAACATTAAAAGACTGCAAAAACATGTTGATAATCCCTTGAAGTGGCAGAGACATGGGAATTCATGGGAAAGAAAATAGATACTTGAACATTGGAAATTACACTGTAAAGACAGAAACAAAATGTGATGGGGCAGAGATATTGGTAAATCAAAAGACAGAGAGAATTCAAAAGATAGAGAGAATTCAAAAGACAGAGAGAAATCAAAAGACAGAGAGAAATCAAAAGACAGAGAGAAATCAAAAGACAGAGAGAAATCAAAAGATAGAATTCAAAAGACAGAGAGAATTCAAAAGACAGAGGGAATTCAAAAGACAGAAAGAGAGAGAATTCAAAAGACAGAGAGAATTCAAAAGACAGAGAGAATTCAAAAGACAGGAAGAGAGAGAATTCAAAAGACAGAGAGAATTCAAAAGACAGAGAGAATTCAAAAGACAGAAAGAGAGAGAATTCAAAAGACAGAAAGAGAGAGAATTCAAAAGACATGAGAGAATTCAAAAGATAGAGACTCAATAGACAACTTATATATCAAGAATTAAAACATTCAATTTGACAATTTTATGATTTGGGATTGTTAAAAACCTTTAAATTTGAAGGTAGGTTTTTCCAAAGGCTAGATCCTTTAAAACTTAAACTGCATGTAGCGAGGGGAAGTCGTGGCTCAATATACTTACTTATAAGCAGTGGCTACCACATTTTTCTTGGGTTCATTATCATAACTCTGTGTCTCACATCCATAAAACTCAGCCAGCTCATGTACAAATTGTCGATTTTCTCGATTCATTGATGGAAATGAATGGCTTCGAGAGGGATATTTAGACTGTAATAGATAAATTACAATAAAATAAAATAATAAGGTGTTATATTTTTATTGGATAGGCTAAGAGATAAAGGCAATCTTAACATCATCTTTTGACACAATTTCAGTAGCAACTTTTTTTTCAATTTCATACAAACCTGATTCCCTAAAATCAATTCAAATTTGATTTGACAATGTTTATAAAATAAAATCAAATTTGATTTCACAATGTTTATAAAATAAAATCAAATTTGATTTGACAATATTTACAAAATAAAATCAAAATTGATTTGACAATATGTATACAATAAAATCAAAATTGATTTCACAATGTTTATGAAATAAAATCAAATTTGATTTGACAATATGTATACAATAAAATCAAATTTGATTTGACGATGTTTACACAATAAAATCAAATTTGATTTGACGATGTTTACACAATAAAATCAAATTTGATTTGACAATATCTATAAAATAAAATTAAAATTGATTTGACAATGTTTACAAAATAAAATTAAATTTGATTTGACACTATTTACAAAATAAAATCAAATTTGATTTCACAATGATTACACAATAAAATCAAATTTGATTTCACAATGTTTATAAAATAAAATCAAATTTGGTTTGACAATATTTATAAAATAAAATCGAATTTGGTTTGACAATATTTATAAAATAAAATCAAATTTGGTTTGACAATATTTACAAAATAAAATCAAATTTGATTTGACAATGTTTACAAAATAAAATCAAAATTGATTTGATATTGTTTATAAAATAAAATCAAAATTAATTTGACAATGTTTACAAAATAAAATCAAATTTGATTTGACAATATTTATAAAATAAAATCAAATTTGATTTGACACTATTTACAAAATAAAATCAAAATTGATTTGACAATGATTATAAAATAAAATCAAATTTGATTTGACAATATTTATAAAATAAAATCAAATTTGATTTGACAATGTTTACAAAATAAAATCAAATTTGATTTGACAATGATTATAAAATAAAATCAAATTTGATTTGACAATATTTATAAAATAAAATCAAATTTGATTTGACAATATTTATAAAATAAAATCAAATTTGATTTGACAATGTTTACAAAATAAAATCAAATTTGATTTGACGATGTTTACGAAATAAAATCAAATTTGATTTGACAATGTTTATAAAATAAAATCAAATTTGGTTTGACAATATTTATAAAATAAAATCAAATTTGATTTCACAATGTTTACACAATAAAATCAAATTTGATTTCACAATGTTTATAAAATAAAATAAAAATTGATTTGACATTGTTAATAAAATAAAATAAAAATTAATTTCACAATGTTTATGAAATAAAATCAAATTTGATTTGACAATAGTTATAGAATAAAATCAAATTTGATTTGACAATGTTTATAAAATAAAATCAAATTTGATTTGACAATATGTATACAATAAAATCAAATTTGATTTGACAATATGTATACAATAATATCAAATTTGATTTGACAATTTTTACAAAATAAAATCAAATTTGATTCGACAATGTTTATAAAATAAAATCAAATTTGATTTTACGATGTTTACAAAATAAAATCAAAATTTGATTTTAAAAAATATTTTAATAAAAATTTAAACAAATCAAATTTGATTTGACGATGTTTTTACAAAATAAAATAAAATTTGATTTGACAATGTTTATAAAATAAAATCAAATTTGATTTCACAATGTTTACACAATAAAATCAAATTTGATTTCACAATGATTATAAAATAGAATCAAAATTGATTTGACATTGTTAATAAAATAAAATCAAAATTGAGTTCACAATGTTTATGAAATAAAATCAAATTTGATTTGACGATGTTTACAAAATAAAATCAAATTTGATTTGACAATATTTATACAATATAAAACTTGTTGCCATTGGAATCAGTGCAGCATCATAATTCCTATTTTTATGATGCTGACACCCCCTTTGCTTTTAATGTTATCAAAAGTATTTTATTTACCTGTTTAGCATTAAGTACAAGATCATATAAAGCTTTCTCTATCTGGTTGGCTTTCTCTGGATTCTTTCTACATTTAAATAAAAACATATGATGAGGTGAAAAAGTTTACAACAAAAATACATTAAAGAATGATGCTGTTTGTAAAAGTTTCGAAGCACAAAAAATCTTCTGATAAGAATTGGTCGAAAGTGTAGAATTTTACATTGTGAAATACCATATTTATGATAAATCTGATCATAAGTTGATTTGTGGAATTGGACCCAACTCTGCTCATGGAAGAGAAAAATTAAACAGTTTACCTTGCAAAATCTTTGAGTAAATCAGGATATGAAGTTGTATTCAGTTTAGATGTCAAGTCTGGGTTTTCTATTTCTAGGGCTAGAGCCATGCGTCTATTTCTCTCCAACTTGGCACACTCGGCATCACACTCTAGTCTGAATATAAAACGGCATACATACAGGCACCTGTTCTTTTCTTCAAATTATATACTTAGTATAATGACTGATCCACATCTTCACAATGTCAAGCTATTATGATCTTCAGCTTATACCAAAACTGCATTAGCCACTTTTCTTGTATCACAAAAGTTTGTAAGGTCAGTGATTTGATTCGATAGTTTGTTAACAAATACAGCCAATCAGAGGCTCCGACACTAAGTCTACAAACTCTTAGCCATAACAAGTACAATCTTTCATCGAGGGCTTTGATTGGCTGTATTTCCTGATATACAATCCAATGAAATCGCTGTGTTCTTTGACACAAGAAAGGCGGCTATTGGAGTCATGGTATAAGCCAAAGTTGTAACAGCTTGACATTATAAAGATGTGAATATTCATGAATATTACAAAATTTATTCACCTTAAAGCAATACTGTATATTTGGTAGTTAAGTGCACAGTTTTCTACCCTAAAAAGGGCATGCAAAAGTGGGGGTGCCCCTATAGGTATTTATAGGAAAGCGAAAAATCATACAGAGCTATGCATGGCAGTTAACTACAAGTAACAATGAGTTAGCTGTTAACAAGGACAATAACTCTAGTCAAAAGACAGTAAATTTCTGTAGTCAATACTTACTGGCGTTTTACACCTTTCTTAATCTGAGCTATTTCTACTGAACCTTGATTCATCCAACTTTCTACTGTCACCCTGTAAAACAAAACCAACACTTTATCATTGGAATTACAACTTAAGGTGCCCTGACACCATAGTCGTTACCAGTTGCATATGGTTGTGAATAATGAAAGTGGCCATGAGTTTCAAATGCAACTCAAAACTCAGTTGCATGAGAGTTGCGTTTGAAACATACGACCGCTATTTTTATTCGCAACCATACGCAACTATGATCACTATGGTGTTAGGACACTTTAAAATTCTCCACTTCTGTATGGAGTACAATGCTTCAATTGCAGAGCAATATAGAAATAGCAAAATTCTTGCTGTCGAACCGTGCTCAATAAGGCAGTAGCAGAGCCATTAAGAAAACAATCTCTACTTAATTCTTGATAAAAAAAGTAAGTTTGGCTATTTTTTTATTTATAAATACTGATATTTTCATAATAAAATTGACTATTGATTAAAGTACTAACTTTTGATAATTATCTGTGTTATCTTCTCCACCAAGTTGACATAAAACTTTAGATTGTTTATTACCACAAGCACATTTCACTGATATCTGTAAAGACAAGACAAGAAAATAAGGTATTGATAAATGTCATTAACCCTTTGAACCCTGGATTTAAATGAAATATAACGTCCTATACCCTGAACTTCAAGTAACATAAGTTACAGTGCATGACGTTGATGTTGTGCGATGTCACTTAGCTACGGTCGGTATACAGGCTGATCGGGTATATATTGCGTTAGTGTGTGGTCGATAGCGAACAGAGTTTACACCTCAGCTCACCTCAGTTTTACAGGCTACAGGAGGACATGGAGAATCAGGATGACAGGGGGCGCCACAAGGATGTCCACATTCCTCACGTTTAATATCACATGGTTGAGTACAGGCTTCACCTTCGGGTAGACAATCACCCTGAAAATATTACAGATATTTCAAGACCACAATATGACAAAATATTAGACCAAGATGTTACAATATGTCAATATCCAGAAACATCTTAACAGAATGGACAACGCTCTTCAACAATTTAGAGATTTTGCCAGAATAGCAGTTATTTTAATTTCCGACTAGAACATAACTCAATATTTCATACAAATCAGTACTGGCTTAATTTTCTATTAAGTGGATACTTATTATTAACATTTTCTCAATCACATGACATTATGAGTGACAGCTAGCATTATTCCAACTAATATTAAGTAAAATCTTATGATCTATCAATCAGTGGTGTTAAAGAATCATTGATATGTAACCACAGGAGCTTTTTTTTTGTCTGGGAGAATGGACATTTCTTCTTGCATCATTCTGAATTTTTGACCACATGAGGCCAATTTGTATTATATGCATTCCCAAAAGATTGTTAAACCACTTTATTTATCTCAGGTTTGCTGATTATGAATCTATAATATCAAGCCAACCTAGAGGGTGTAGTAAAAGGGCTTACCTTATGACAAGTTTGTTTGCACTTATGTTTACCACAAGGTAGAGTACGACCACAGGGATATCCACACATTATATCTTTAATATGACATGGTATATTCTTTCTTATCTAGAAATATAATCATAGGATGAGATGCTGAACATCAAATATTTAATTGCTGTGAAGTTGCAGGAACCACAGACATCTGACTGAATATTGGAATGGTGCAAATTGATGTTTGACGATACATAAACAATTTAGAAAACCTCTTTACAATCCCTTTTAGACAAATGAATTGAATTCTTCTAATCTTGCATAAAATAAAGTATATTGTCCTACTATCCTACCTCATGGCCTCCAACACACCGTTTCTCTGTTAAAGCTGTACATGGTGGACACGTCTCTTCACTGTGACAATTATGACGAACTACAGACAGAAAACAAAATAATTTAACACCTCATAATAAACATCAATAGTTTTTTAAATATTCATCCAAGATAAAATGTGGAATTTAATAAAGATTTAACCCAACACCCCAATATAAACAATATGACCAAAAGTGGAGATCTTTCAGTAACCTTAATTACCCTAAGAATTGTGAATTAAAGTGTTTAAGGGTCAAGGGAATCAAGAAGCTATGCAAGAAAGATTGGCTTAAATGTCTAAACAATTTAAAATGTAACCTGCTCTTTCAGAACACCAGGCCAGTAGCCAGATTTGATTGTTCAGAGGTGCAAGTAATATATCAGAAGGGGCAAAGGTGTATGGTGTTTAGTTTCAGTAATGGAATTGGTCGTTTGTCAGGATTTTTGCAGGGGGGAAATCCATTTTTCTTGACCCCTTGTAGATTTTGGCTTTCAGAGCACACAGAACCTTTCTATCATTTCCTTTATAAAGGCTTTCTACAGAAAGAAGAGTGTTCAAAAATACATACCAGTATGTTCACAATCATGTTGTTTTTGACAAACTTGATGACATTCTGGTGGTCTTGTACCACAAGCTACAGGTGGAAATATTACAGCTGCTCCACAATGGCACGATAACTCATCAAAACCTTCAAATATACATACAATCTAGATAAATCTGTATCTAACCTTCTACCTACATGATAGCATGCTGATCGCCATAAACCCAGACACTGGGTAGAAAGCATGTATTCCTAGTGCAGACAACAGGCTTTGTCATTCAATGCCATGTGGATCAAGACTATTTGGATAGACTTTCTCCCTGTAGACTGTATACAATAGAACAGACAAGAATTGGTTCCTTTGTTGCTTTGTCGAAGAAAATACGACAACCAGTCGGCCAGTCATTGTGTCATTGCCAAGTATATTGTGTTGGGTTTTTGAGCAATTGTAAATGAGTACTCAAGTAAGTCATTCTCAAAATCACCAATAACACATTTTCGTACACAATACTTACTTGCTTCTAAACAAGGTAGACAGTTACCAGGGTGACACATCTGTCCACATTTATGTCTACCACACGTCAACTTCCTGTTACATCTTGTTTCACAAATATGTTCTTCTTTCTACAACAACAAAAAACAAAATTACTACACAAGGAAGCATGACATGTCTGGATATTGATAAATGACTTTCGTTTGTATTTATATCTAAACCCCTATTAATTGTCTGATCTTTACATCCCTATACCTCCCTTATGTTGTTTCCTACTTGTATTTTTTTACATGATCTTGTCTGATCTTTACATCCCTATACCTCCCTTATGTTGTTTCCTACTTGTATTTTTTTACATGATCTCTTGTTGTAAAATTAATTTCTTTATTAGGATAACAATGATTTCTTATTATTCATATCAATACTTTGTCTAAAGGAAGTAAGGCAACTTGGTAGAAAATAACTTATCAAAGATTTGAATCATTTGTAAGATAACTCAATAGTTGGAAATTGAAAAAGAGCAAGCAAATACTGCTGTCCTGGCAAAAATTCCCCTGCAATGCATTGCCTGTTTTCATTAGCCCACATGGAGCAGAAAGTAAGACTCCATTCATTTTATTTCCAGGATATCTCGTTTCAAAAAAATGTCCTTATTGGATAACAAAGATTTCTTATATTTTTAATGTTACTTTATTATAAGGGTATCGAGGCCACTCAGTTAAAGATTAAGTGTTAATCCATGAACAAAAGAACTTTCACTGATATAATAACTGACTGTTGATTACCTTACAACAAACTTCACCACATTTATGTTTACCACAATGTCTTTTTTTGGTACATTTTTTATCACAAAGAAAAGGATTAGATTCTGAAAATAAACAAACTGAATAACTCAAATACACTTTAGAAATGGGCACAAACTCCAAAAATTTATTTGGTACAGATTGAAAAAAATTAGAATAAGTTCGTCTTTAAATTTCTAATTAAAAAATGTCACACATATCTTTCCTACAATATACTTGATATACTACAATATATAAACCAAGTACTAACAATCCGAACTACAAAACTAAATCTTAAATCCAAACAACATATTGGCTGAAGCAGCTAATGAACTTTTCACATGAGGTAGTATATCAATCAGTAAGTATTTCATAATGAAAAGAATATTAATTCTCACCATTGTATGTTATTGCTTTAGCACAGGGGATAGATTTCTCAATATTCTTACAAACACATTTTAATTTGCTATAACCTTCACATGGTGGACAATCACCTTCATGACAAACTTTTTTACATACATGTTTACGATCTGAAATGGAGGAAGAATCAAGATTAAGTAATAAGGTGAAGTCAGTTATTTAAATTGTTCATGTTATAATGGCTTCCTTCACTTGTAAAAGCTTTCACTTCCATGCTTTTTTGCAGGAATAAGTCATATCTGCAATGCTATTAGTGTCCCTGATACACATAACAATTTTAAAAAAACCTCTTTACAATCCTTTTCAAGATAAATTTCTCACCTTGAGTTCCACATTTCAGTTGTTTTTTACAAATTTTATCACAAGTAGGTAAAGGTGCTAAACACGAGGTTCTTTTTTCATCTGTTAAATCAGTTATTAATGTGCGACCACAGGGACAGTGTTTGATTTGGTCTGGGAGAAGAGGGCAGGGGGGACAATCCCCAGGGTGACATTCTAATTCACATCTATGATTACCACACTCTAATATTCTACAATACAAATTATAAAACATCATGACTAATAGTATCAAAGGCTTTGTGAAAATCATCAAATTCATAAAGTCTGAATTTGGTTTAATTTTGTTAACTCTTGTTTCACTATTGACCTTAAGTGATGTATCTACACACTAAATAAATCAGAGAATCAGATCCTACTTATTCGTGCCTCGGTTCAATGGTTCAAAAACTTTAATTCTTCCAAATTGATTCCTGTATGCTCAAAATCGTACAAACACCAGTTTAAATTAGAAGACTGATGAAAAAACATGACTAAAGATAAAACATGATCATACAAAACTGACCTATTACAAGGGTGTGAACAGGAGTAGGATATTTCTTGATCTTCACTAGAACCACACAAAACTTCCCGACTAGAGTGTTTACCATAACATTCTATAATATACAAATCAGGGTTATATACATGTATGTTCTGTAGCACATGTATCAGTGGATCAATAGGTCTAAAATACCCTTTTTCAAGTCTGAGTGTAAAGCTTAACTTCCTTCAGGAGATCCTCTAAAGACCAATGCAATGAAGTTTATCTGGGACACTTCCAGCACCTTTCCAGTTTCCTTTTTAACATCTGTGAGTTCCATAAACTTGTCCAGTTTATGACCTCACATCACAACTTGGCTGAAATAAAGATCAAACTTTCGTTCCTTTTTATTAGCTTTTCACTTCAGTTTGGGTCTGAAAACTCTCACAAAATGCAGATGACAGAAATTTGATTGGTTAAAGCAGGGCTAGGTCAAAAGATTATTTTGACGAATGTTTAAAGGGCCAGTCACTAGACCTTAACTTAAGTGGCTATATAAAAATGAAAGCTGATAAAAAAAATGGAAGGAAAGTTTGGTCTAATTTTAATTAGACTCAATAAAGGCCGAGTGTGGGCTTCCAGTCCCTATCACTTACCTTGTTTAAATGACTGTGTACAGGTTTGACAAGCTCCTGAATGACAGATAACTAAACATGTATGTTTTCCACAGTTTAACATCTTTCCACATTCATGATCACATTTTAGTCCAATATTCAACCCACATCTTACAGTTTGTCTGAAACAATCAATTCACAAGTCTTTTACAATTAAAATCAAAATTATTATATTCATAATGTCAAGGTATTAAAAATTTTGCATGATTTCAAACGTTTAAAGGTAATTCTATTTCTATCAGAAACACATAAAATTTCTCGGTTAAAATTCAAACTCATTTGAAATATTTCAATGTACAGGTGCCATCTTGATTTTGTGTAGATTAGCAACAGACAACTCTATATCCTACCTTTATCAACCCAGATAACCACGAAGGACCAGATTATAGATAATAAAAAAGGACCAGATTACAATAAAGATTATAAATAAGGATCAGATAATAAGAAGGGACTTACTTGATTTGTCCACAATCACAAGATTTGGTAACAGTAGCACTACATGGTGGACAGGCACCTGGATGGCACAACCTGAAATTATAACAGATTAACAATATACTGACAGGCTAACAAACAATCTGAAATTATAACAGATTAACAATATACTGACAGGCTAACAAACAATCTGAAATTATAACAGATTAACAATATACTGACAGGCTAACAAACAATCTGAAATTATAACAGATTAACAATTTACTGACAGGCTAACAAACAATCTGAAATTATAACAGATTAACAATATACTGACAGGCTAACAAACAATCTGAAATTATAACAGATTAACAATATACTGACAGGCTAACAAACAATCTGAAATTATAACAGATTAACAATATACTGACAGGCTAACAAACAATCTGAAATTATAACAGATTAACAATATACTGACAGGCTAACAAACAATCTGAAATTATAACAGATTAACAATATACTGACAGGCTAACAAACATCAGGTGGATGTATCAGGTATATATCGTTTTCTTCAAATGCTTATATATGTAAGTAAATACTTGGAAGAAAGTCACATGTTAAATGAATTGTTTGGTAACAAATGGAGGCAATAGGGCAATAATTGAGGGTTTTGTCCTGTTTCTTTACAGTTACAGTAAAGAATCTTCATCATCTAAATATGGTTTTCAGTGATAAACTCTCTGAAAAAAGCCTGTTATGTTGTTTTGTCTGAGTGTTCAGAACAGCAGGTCACGGAAAAGAAAGGTGAATCGAACACATCAAACAGTTTCCATTGAACCATAACGCAACATCTGACACTTCTGTCTTGTGGGTGAAGGTAAAATCACGCAAAATCATCATGTATTCATTTTGAACTCATTCTATATCGAAGTGCAGCGAATAAATGCAGAGTTTGATAGTTTTGTTTTACATGGACACATTGTCTGAATACTAAGATTAAGTATAATATAAAACTTAACTTACAATGTACAAGGATGTTGACAATCTCCCTTTCTGTTTCTATTACAGACATCACCACAGCTATGGGGGGTCTCATATCTGTTATATACAGGATCGCGTATTTTACCTTCAAAATAATAACTCAATATGATCAATATACGAATTTTGATGTTTCTTTTGTGTATTTTCTGAAGACAACTCTATTGGCAATCCATGATCTGTCAAAATCATTATGCATCTCATGTTCTGTGTTATTTAATATTCAACTAATCAGATGTTCTGTGTTATTTAATATTCAACCAATCAAATGTTCCGTGTTATTTAATATTCAACTAATCAAATTTTCTGTGTTATTTAATATTCAACCAATCAAATGTTCTGTGTTATTTAATATTCAACCAATCAAATGTTCTGTGTTATTTAATATTCAACCAATCAAATGTTCAGTGTTATTTAATATTCAACCAATCAAATGTTCTCTGTTATTTAATATTCAACCAATCAAATGTTCTCTGTTATTTAATATTCAACCAATCAAATGTTCTCTGTTATTTAATATTCAACCAATCAAATGTTCTGTCTCTTACTAAATGTGAGGAATTCTGTGATATGTATGTTAGACATTGCATTTTATCAAAAAAATGATAACTTTTGAAGCTATTAGGTCAAAACTCCACCGAGCGAGATTTAAATTAAAGTATAGCAAAAGCAAAACACCCCTAATAGTTACTGTCTATCAAATTCTTGGTACTTGATATGAATTTCTTGGTATATAATTAAAGATTTTGGTTTATAATACGAGTTTCTTGGTATAAAATTTCAACTTCTTAGTATGTGATTTTTTTTATGTTGGATTTTTTCCGTTTTGGCATTCAATAATCTATCAAATTTTTATTAGCTAGCTATAATTTTTGCAATGTTTAATCATACCACAATTAAAAAATCACCACCAGAAAATTATTCACAACAAACTATAATTACACTCACCACAAAAGCACTTGTAAGAATTTGGAACTTTTTCTGTAATATTTTGACAGGCAGGGCAGCGCCATCCTTCTGCAGAACCTTGAAAGAAGAAATACAGAATTCACCTCATGTTTGACCTCTTCCCATCAAAAAGGGTTTTATATTGCAGAATTTCATATCAGCATAATCAGTTTTCAGTCATTAATAGATAGACAATAGAGACAAATCAAAAGCCTTGGGCAATTTGTTGTGTAAAACAAAAACGAAAATTGACAAATTCACAAAATGAGATTTAACAATCAAACTTTGTTTGTAAGTCTAAAGAAAATTAAAATTGACAAAATTTAAGAAACTGAGAAACAGAGGAGATATAAACTCATCTCACCTCCCTCCACCAGTGCAGTTGAAGATCTGGCCCATTTCTTGATACAGAATAGATGGAATAGATGATAACAGCTAGAACAGTTCCATACAGCTGTATCCGGTCTCATGTTCTCACAGCACACCATACATTCATATCTTCCTTTAGTTAGTTGCTCTATCATACGACCTGAAATATCACATCTATACTTAGACATACAGTAGACTTGTCTGAAATATCACATCTAAACTTAGACATACAGTAGACTTGTCTGACATATTACATCTAAACTTAGACATAGAGTAGACTTGTCTGACATATTACATCTATACTTAGACATAGAGTAAACTTGTCTGACATATTACATCTAAACTTAGACATAGAGTAGACTTGTCTAAGATATTACATCTAAACTTAGACATAGAGTAAACTTGCCTGACATATTACATCTATACTTAGACATAGAGTAGACTTGTCTAAGATATTACATCTAAACTTAGACATAGAGTAGACTTGTCTGACATATTACATCTATACTTAGACATACAGTAGACTTGTCTAACATATTACATCTATACTTAGACATAGAGTAGACAAATTTGTCTGACATCACTATTGCAACAACCTCAAAAATTTTCAATAGTGCTCAGTTTTTGTGATTATTACGTCCTTTAATGAAAAGAAAGACTGACATAAAATTTCGAAAGATGGAAAAGGATGAAAATTTGAAATTTCTTTGAAGAGTTCTCAAATATTGAAAGGTGAAAGAGCTAAATTTCAACCAACTGTAACACTTTTTATAATCACTTTCAGGCTTTTTTTATTTTATTCTAATGGACAGTTCTATGTGATGAGGTCTTGGTAAAAAAAATTGACGAATAAAGTGTTCAAAAAACTGTCAATACCTACTTCTCTGATCTGTAGCTTCACTGTCATCCGTAACTTTTTTCTTATTTCTGTATGACTTGGACTTCGTGGTGGGTGGTTCATTTTCTTCATCACCTTCCTTAGTTTTTAAGTTATTCCCCTTCCTGTTATTATCTGAATCTGATCTTCCAGTCTTGTCAGTGTAACCTCTATTGCCTTTTGCTGATCCCGCTCCAAATTCCTGAGGTCTATAACCGGCATAGTTGGATGATTTTTTATTGGTACGATGCTGGTACAAAGAACTGTTGTCCCATTTGGATTTTGAGGAAATGGTAGCTTCCTTTTGTTTGTTTTCACCACCAGATGCAAGTCTTTCATTAGTGGAGTTTGCCTCTACCGTGTTGGAAGTGCTTTGACCACTTCCTGAAGACATGCTATTTTGATTTGAAGCATTTTGTCCACCACGCCGGGTACGATATCTATTGTTACGATATGACTTGGATTGAGGTTGACTTGGTTCCTGATTTTGATTGTTCCAATTTTCTTGATAGCTGCCATATTCTGTATAGTTGGCAGCACCATTTGATGCCTCAAATGATGATTGGTTATATCCGTTTAAAGTGGGATCATAATAGAATTGCTCCTCCTGACTATATCCATAGTAATTTGGATCAAAATACGGTTGTTGGTAGAAACCTTTAAAAAATAAGGAAAATGACTAAAAATTCGCATCAAAAAATTACTATTAAATAAAGATACTATCTTGGACCAGATTTCAATTTTAAACATAATTGTCTTGCTTGTACAACCTATAATACTACAGCTAAAAATACCTCTGTCATTGTCAAAAGCTTTTATAATGAGCCCCAAGATGAATTTTATACTAAACGTTTGGTCACTGCATATAAAAGAAATAAAAACTTTAGTAATGTATTGGTTCATGGTAGATTAGAACCCCTTTCATCAACTCCCTGAAACAATGGCATTGGAATTTGAGTTGAATATATTTTTTCATGTAATCCCTCCAGAAGTAATAATCTATGAATAATCTTCAGTAAAACATATTCTGTTTGAATTGAAATAGTTTTTATGTTGAAATCCATAGTCTCTACTTGTGACCTAGGCCAGTGCTTCTATAGGAGAGTATCTTCTAAAACACCTATAACTATTATTGATATTCTACTCATCTTAATTTAAGCAACATTTCAATTCGCATACAGGAATCTTTTTCATGTGTCTGATCATAATGAACATACCTTGTTGAAAATTTTGAGGGTAATAACTAGTTCCCTGGTCTGTAAATGAATACGTTGAATAACCAGTGTTTACGTTGTTATCCGATGTATATTGTTGCTGATATGACGCGGCTTGTCTGTTGTTTCTATAGTTACCATACTGTCCTTCTTCAGCCATCTTTTATTTTTCCAGTTGTTTACCTTCTCTTTATACTCTGAAAAAGTTTTTAAAAATGCTATGACAACTCTACTTTTTAAAAAAAAAAAAAAACTTGGCCCACATTGTAGCCTTTTGGGTGATTCTGTGTCTTTTATTCAAAGTTGGTTGAGTTGTCTTTGAAAATACTCTGATAGGTGTTGATGACAACTCAGGCCAACTTTAAAAGAAAACTTGAGAGCCAATTAGGGTAGTGTTATATTTTCCAGTAGCCCTGGGTGGTTGATCTGGTCTGGTCTGATTCTTATAAGTTGTCTTCTAATATTGTTTTAAGCCCAACTAAGTAACCATTGTCAACATTGTAACAAAACAAGGCTATGTCTGTCCTTAGACGAGATCAAAGTGATCTTTTCAGAATCAAGCCAAGAAACTAAGAGTAAAAGAAAGTGCATTTTACAGCGTCGTGTACGATTTGCACATGCATGGACGATTATGTATCCTCTGTTGTTTTTCTACAGTTTGACACATCACGATCAGATTTCGAGTGCGAGTCGAATGAAATGATGTTGAATCTATACACCTAATGACCTATTACCTACCAAACGGCGCCCGATCAAGGGCAACAAAATCGTTGTTGTGTTCTACAACTTTTCAAGTCATGTTACCGATCAGTTATTTCAACATATCTGCTAAATTTAGAAAAATTAGTGAAATGGTTTTGCAATTTTCTGAACAGGAAGTAAACTCTACCCAGTCTTATTTCTCACTTCCGTTTTTGTGACTTTTATCTACCGAATAGAAAATGGAGTTGCTTCCCTTTACGTACCTTAAAGGGATTGTAGAGGTTTTTTAAATTTTGTTATGTGTATCCGGAACATCAATAGCATCAATTTGCGTCATTCCAACTTTCTATCAAACGTCCATGGATCCTGCAATTCCACTAAAACTAAGCGGTTTACGACGTCACTAATCGCTAATCCATTTTTGTGATACATTTTGCAATTAATGACGCCATCAAACACTTGCAGGAACCATAGACGTCTTTTTGAAAATTGCTATAGTTCAAATTGATACTATCAGTGTCATAGAAAACCTCGTTACGTATGATAAACGAGATGACTTCTCATTTTCTATTGTCAACTTTCCATTTTTGAACAGCAATATTCACACTTCTTCCGCTTATCCCAGCCGATACGTTATGCCAGAGCTTCTTCCGCATATGATGATTTTGTGCTGGGAGCGTCGTTACTGACCTCTAAATTGTTAACACTAGGTTACAAAAAACCTAGATTTGTTTCTACCTTGAAAAAGTTTTATGGTCGTCACCAGGATTTGGTTGTTCGCTACGACACTACAGTCTCTAAGTTGTTGAAGGGTGTTTTCCTTTCGGTTGGGTGTAGACCACCATTTGCTAAATTGTGACCAATATTATTCCTGGAATATTCTATTTCAATTGGTCTCATTTCCCCAACTTTGAAACTGATTATCAAGATATTGACGGGTGTCGTGCACGAGGCAGAGTTGGCTCACTCTTTCTGTAACACCCGAATCTACCTCACTCGACATGCGCTAGATCTTGTGATCCCATACACCCGCAAATACCAGGGACTGCCCGAAAAGAAGATGGGCTTTGAATTTGTTTCCAGTGGTCGAAGTATTTTGGTATAGGCTACATATGAATCAAAGGTACCTACTTGACATGTGTAGTGATCGGTGTTGTAACCTTCTTGTATTTAATCTGACTAAGAATGCAAATCTAGATATTTTTTGGTTTTTTTTTTTGCATTTTTTCGTGTGCCTTCACTTGTCATCCATGATCTAGTGGAATTTTTGGCATACTATGTTCTACGTGACCTATATATCAGCCCACTTAAAACAGTATCCAGCTGCGACAGCTTTTGAAAAATCGCAATTTAAAGAAAATTCTCGTCCAATCACGAATTTGTTTGCAAGTGTAGTAGGTAAAACTGTAGTAAGGAAATATCTATCTGAGGATGAAGGACAGCAGACCTCCCAACCACACCCTTTCAGATCTTAGGCTTGCCCGGCTTTGCCCCACTCCTTTAGTATTCTATCACACCTGATAATACTTCACTGGTGCGGTGCCCCACAAAAAATACAGTCGAAGAAATATATTATTTTATTAAAATGAACCCACATGTGACAGTTTGATCTCTATTGTGCCCTTTAATGTATCTCGAAGTTTTAACTAAAAAAATCCAGCCGTTAATTATAAAACGCCAAAAATAAATTTTTTTTAAAATTGCGTAAGGTTTGAATAAAATAAACGCCTAACTGCAGAGAAATTTACTCTCCTACGTATATTTAAAACAAATTCAGTTTGATCAAGAAGGCTATATATAACCTTTTAAAGTTCGTTATCATTTTTGCAAGCTGTTAGAAAACTACTGTAAGGATTTGAGTAAAATAAGCGCATAATTGTAGAGAAATATGTCTCCTACGTTTTCGAAAGATTTCAACTAAATATAACGAACCGTTATAAAGCCAATCACCGAAACTAGGTCAAACTGCTTAATTAACAATTAGTACTCTCAGGTTTTTAATTAACCCTTTTAAAATATAATCGGTTTGATCAAGAAGATAAATAGATATAAATAGCATATTTTAGAATATTTTCAGGTATAATTTTCGACGTTTTTGATAATGAAAAGTTTTTACTAAAAAGCGGAATAGTTTATTTTACAATATTGTTAAAGGGATACTATGACAATAGCAGCTATTACAGATTAGAAAAACGTGAGTATCAAAATAAGAACAATTTGAGAAAAGGAAAGAATATTTGTAAATTTCGACGGTTGTCCATTATTATCAGGGCTCAAGAGCTCACCACATGCCCTGGGATGGATGATCCTGAAATACTCGAGATAGATTGATCTTGTTTCCGGGCATTTTTTCAATAATTCCGAGTCCCGCACACACCCATAACTGACTTTCCTGTGTCTCAAAATAAATTTGTATCATATTTTAACCTCTTAATACCCAAACCTTGCCAATAGGTGTATATAATATCTATCATTGTCTGGGCAAAGTACTGTTAGTCTTATAATGGTCTTAAAAATATTCACATGAGCCCACATTATCTCTTTAAAATTTGTTTTTACAGAGAAAATTCTCAGTCAATATTTTTCAGTTCAAATTTTCGGGAGAGAAATGTGTTTCTTTTCAATGCACACTTACAAAAACTTAGTAGGAGTTTGTTGTGAAATATTTTTAAAAAAAACGTCAGCCGAGTTTGCATTGGTCCGAGTTTGTTTTGGTCCGAGTTGTCCTGATGTGTTTCTTTTCAATTTACACTTACAAAAAAAATATTTTTTTCTTCGCAAAGACATTTTAATACTAACAATACTATTTTGAGGCTGATATTCTAATTCTTTTAACAGATATAGAACATAAGCTTGCGGCAAGTCTCGCAAGCGAATACGCCCACCAGCAGCTTGATGAAGAGCTAAATGTGAACTGTAAAACAAACTCTATATCGTAGACAGACCGACAGACGGACGGGCGGACCGACAGGGGCAACCACAATATACGCCCATACTTACGTGCATGTGGGCGTATAAAAAATAGAGGACTTTTCTTACAGAATCCCTGTATATGACAATAAATCCCCTAAACTATAATAGAGTATATATTTACCAGTGGACATACCTGCTATCATAACTAACAGAATAAAACAGATAAATTCACAAAATTAAGTTTCTATCGTGTTCATAGGTAACTTTGAAGAGGATTGATAGTGGCTATGATAATTATCATTCTTTTGCATCAAATCATAATCTCATGAAAGAACGAATGTTCTCACGTGAACTTATGTCACCCAATACCCCCATATGATGATCTTCAACACTTGTTCAATTACCTGCAGCGATGTTCTTTCCATTCTTCAAATGTGGCATTTACACCCAATTCACCAAAATTGGCTTGGTTTAGATATGGTTGAATACCAGCTAATGATTGTTGTACACAGTTGAAGTTAATGGCTGAAATGAAAGCCAATTGTAAAACATTTCCTATTTTTTGAGCATAACTGTTTTTATCCACATTAGATTGTAAAATCTTGTTGAAAAGCTTTATACTGGTACTGTTATATGACTGGCCGTAAAGCAGTCGAAGGGACTCGTACAGTGGCGTATTGAGCGGTAATTTTTGGGTTATAATAAATGAAACTTTCATATTGTCCCTGTTTTACAAAGTCTCGATATAATCGTATCCAGCTGCTGCCCTAAAGAGAACATACCGATTGGCAGACTACACCGCAACCCGACCAGCACCCACTCTATCCGCCCCCTATTCCTACCTTACACTTAATGGCTTACCTTCTGATCGCCCACAGAGATGTTGGGACCCCTCCGTTTCGGCTTCTGCTGTCTCGACCTTTTGTTCTGGCATCTGGTAGACACTGTCGTTTGAAGTTGTATTTACATTCAATTAACTGGATATACTCAGTTTTGTGACTGAAATATCGATAGAAATTAGCGGACACAGATTTGGTCACTGTCACTGAGGGGGTAAAAAGAGAGAAAATCAAGCAGACACCCACCTCCCCCCCTCCCCCCCCCCATATCAATTACTTCTTAACTGCCTGGTGCTGTGATAGACCGAAACATCTGTCTTTATTCCAGCCTCTGACAGCTATTTGGACAGATGTCGGCTGGTGTAGAGACAGCAAAATTGGACCCTGTTATTCCCTATTTTTGTACTCTACTCTGGCGGTTTACCATCAAAATATCCATCAGAGGCTGGAATAGACGCAGATGTTTCGGACTCCAATTTGTTCACACCTCCTAATGATTCCTAGACACGCCACGGACTACAGTCTTTCAAATTTGACTTGTAAATCCTTACCTGCAGATAGTTGTCGTGTTCCTAAATATATTAATATCACCTCTATACCAGGATTTAAATACAGAATTGTTAGTATAGCAAGATTCGTCTGATATTCCTTTGTCACAGTTTTGATACTCGAAGTAAGGTCCATTGGAACACCAAATAACATCTAGAATAGTCAAAATAATTGGAAAGAATAGTAAGCGAGCAGTGGCGGCGCCACCAGGCGTTTTTACCCCAACTTTATTTTTGAACAAATTTAAAAAAAGATTTTATACGATTTTGTCCCAAAATATGTGTCAGAATGCACCAAATCAGTTTAGTTTTTCGACAATTTTCTTCGAAGGATCCACTCAGACAAGAGGCTTGCGACCGTGACACATTTGATATTATAATTTATTCAAGCTTACCTGCTAAAAAAGCAATATTGATCACAATATGGCGCATCATTTTTCCTATCGATAGAAAATCTTACTGGTCCTGCACTAAAAAACAACCAATAAATAAAGTCTTTGAATGGCATTTAGCAATTGTGCATGAGTACGATATATAGACACAGCTTTATGGAACAACAATCACTGGTTAAAGTTTTATGCAACGTTTCGACGTGTTTCCCCCGTCGTCCTCAGGCACATAATGAGAAGAAGTGATGGGCAAACTATATATACATTAATGCTTATTATTAAGAACACACAAGAGATAAATGGTTTATTGATACATTACATTAAATTTTAACAGGTACAATAAGAGGTATATAATTCTTAAAATAACATACAGGCTGATTAAGTAAAATAATTGAAGTAAAGTAAATGAATTAAAAAAGATTGATTGAAGATTAAATAAACAACTATTGCTGGTATTGGAGTCTTTTATTAATAGGAATTACATTGTTCATATAACTAACTATGCTTAAAGTTGGAAATTGTTTTTGAATATGAATAATTACAAGTTGATAAGTTTATCATATGCATGCGATAAACGAACACCTTCATCTCTGTTAAGGTCAGGCTGATATCTTCTGATGTGGATAGCTTCATGAAGTCTCCTGGTTTTATCTATGTGCTTATTGATTGTCAGTATGTTGGTGTTGTCAAAGTTGACATTATGTCCTGTTTTTCTTCCCATAGCAAGATGTTCAGCCACAGCAGATGTTCCTTCATTGCCGGGCTTGTCTTGATGGTCTTTGAGTCGAACATCAAGGGGTCTCTTTGTTTCCCCTATATACGAGCTTCCACAGGAGCACTCAACTTGGTAGACACATCCCTTAGGTTTTTGGTTGTTGGAGGGATTCAATTTACCATTAGCTCTGAGCAAATCTTTAAGCGTTGAGTTGCCAGAGAACACTGTTTCAATGCCGACTGACTTTTTCAGGATCTTCTTGATTTGGTATGATGCCTTTCCGATGAATGGGATAGCTAAGCGGTTAGGCGGTCAGTTGAAGACATCCGTGTATAGGAAACCTACACATACAGATCAGTATGTGAACTACCATTCCAACACCCCTCAACATGTCAAAAGGGCAGCCATCACAGCGCTGGTCAGAAGAGCAAAAAGGATTTGTGACACAGAATACTTTCAACAAGAATTACAACACATCAAGAAAGTATTTTGCTTGCACAACTACTACCCTCCAGCCTTTGTACATCAAGCTTTTCGATCCGTATTAATGGCAAAACCAACCAACCAACAGCCTAATCCCAACAGACCATCAACCCGCTTAGCTATCCCATAGTTAGTATCTTGAAAATTCAACATATAAACTTGAAAATTCAACATACTAACTTGAAAATTCAACATATAAACTTGAAAATTCAACATACTCACTTGAAAATTCAAGATACTAACTTGAAAATTCAACATACTAACTTGAAAATTCAACATACTAACTTGAAAATGAATGGCCCTAATACGCTTTCGTAAATATCTCCCAATTTCTTATTTTATTTTAAAAAATACGAGAAAACAAAAAGGAAACGAAACTAATTTTAATTTTAATTAGATAGTTTGTGTCATGACTCCATTAAAGTTGCGAAAAGGCAAGATACGGTGTCCGAGAGATAACCGATACAGAATAAAATAGAAGAAGTAGTGATCCTGACAAAACGAGTAGCTACTATTTTCTATCACATATTTATCGATCCCGCAATGGACACTGCACCTTTTCCATTCGCACCTAAGTACATCACCTGAACGTAGTATTATTCCGTACACCTGACTTGAACACCGTGCTTAGTCCATGTGAACCTACACACACATATATACGCATTAAGTAAGAATTCTTTGAAATATATTGTATTTTTGTATGAGGCAAAATTCCATTTGAATTTTAAGTCGGTTATGTTTTTCATTGCAAGGCTTTCGGTAGATTTATATGGTAACCACCTATAACTATAGAAATGCACTCAGTGATATATCAAGCGTATATCAAATATTTCAATTTTGTTTTGTAAAATTATTAACAATAAAACATAAAAAAGCTGAAAAGAGAATGCCCCCCCCCCCCCCCCCCTCACCTCAAATAGACGAAGTACAGTGTCGAGTGAGGTGCGTGGGATTTATATTATAGTCATGTTCACAATGTCAATCTATTACGAACTGCACCGTAACTGCATCTGCAAATCATAAAAGAGTTGAGTAAAGGATTGTCCACGACTCTCCTGGGATTAAGGTCTGAAAGAAAATCTTCCGAAAAATTTGGGACAACAACACGAAAACAAAGAAAAATCGTAGATTGGCGCCTTTAGTGTTCGGAGTCAAGCTTCGCCTGATATCTCAACCCTTCAAAAATTTTCAGGCAAAGCCGCCTGCCTATAAATATATAATATAATTTAAAATTAATAGTTGAATAAACTAAATACAGGAATACCTACCGGCATTCTAACGATTGATAAACAAAATATATACTTCTTATAATTGAATAAAAAAATGTTCATCAGTTACCTCCCTTGAACTATTAAAAGTTGTCGGTCAAGTCACTGGTTTTCTTTTTTAACTTCCTGTTGGTCGCGTTTGTTGTATATGTTAAAGGGACAGGTACGCCATTTTTTTACCAACCATACTTATTAACGGGATTTTTTTTAAAACTAAGCCAGTCAGTAATTTAGTGTTCACAGCTCACCGTCCAAATCTGAGCCTTCATGTCCATATGTGTCCAGAATCATCCGGATTGGAATGTTAAAATGACGACTCGTTAATTTATGATACTATGTGATATACATTTCGAGTACTACTGAAGACTTAATTAACGTAGCCTATATTCAAGACTAAAATCAACCTCTCGAAATGCATCAACTGTCCTTTTAAGCAACTATATCGGGTGTAGCTCCATGAATGCTTACTCTTCTAGACACCTGACACCACTTTTCATTATGAAATACTTACTCAATTATGATTGATAAACATATACTTCCTCATGTGAAAAGTTCATTAGGCTACCTGTAACCAATATTTCGCCAATCCGCTGACTATATTTTAAAAGAATGCTATTTTATCAATTTAAAGTTAATCAATATTAAGGTATATTATGACCAATTATTAGCTGGTAGAATCTAAATTATGCAACCCGTAAACTTTTTCAAAATGAAATTTATACCTCCATGCGTAAACAATCAAATGGAAAAGAACAGCTTTAAAACACAGAAATTAGTTTGATTTTGCAGGTATCCCACAGCGTGAGTAATAATATGTTTCAGGTTCTGTTTTAATATTTCACTATATCTATATCTCTTTACAACTGATGTATTGAGAACTTTTTTAACAGTTGTATTTCTATATCATTCTACAATTGATGTATTGAGAACTATTTTAACAGTGGTATTTCTATATCATTCTACAATGGATGTATTGAGAACTATTTTAACAGTGGTATTTCTATTGATGTATTGGGCACTACTTTAACAGTAATATTCCTATATCACTCTACAATTGTTGTATTGGGCACTATTTTAACAGTGGTATTTCTATATCATTCTACAATTGATGTATTGGGCACTATTTTAACAGTGGTATTTCTATATCACTCTACAATTGATGTATTGAGCACTATTTTAACAGTGATATTTCTATATCGCCCTACAATTGATGTATTGGGCACTATTTTAACAGTGGTATTTCTATATCACTCTACAATTGAAGTATTGAGCACTATTTTAACAGTAATATTTCTATATCACTCTACAATTGATGTATTGAACACTATTTTAACAGTGGTATTTCTATATCGCTCTACAATTGATGTATTGGGCATTATTTTAACAGTGGTATTTCTATATCGCTCTACAATTGATGTATTGGGCACTATTTTAACAGTGGTATTTCTATATCACTCTACAATTGATGTATTGGGCACTATTTCAACAGTGGTATTTCTATATCGCTCTACTATTGATGTATTGAGCACTATTTTAACAGTGGTATTTCTATATC